CAGTCTACTCAGGGTTTGTGGCTGCTGGGAGGTGAAGACTTCCCCCATCTAATCTTGGGTTTGGGTGTGAAATATGCTTTGAGTCACCATTGGTTATGTTCCTGCCATTGTGTTCCTGCTTCGTCCTTGGCACTTCAGCTTTTAAAGTGGAAGCGTTCGATCCTGATATATAGGGTAGGATGTACAGGAGGGCAGGGAGTGACTTGCACAATGATCATTGGGACATCTTGTCACCCAAATAGTTGTAGGCACTACAGACCCTGGATCTCTGAAGGTCTGCCCAAATTTCCTGTCTCCTGCCCACATCTGATGACAAGTCTGGCAAAATGCTGAGCACCTGTATTTTCAGGTTTGATGCTGATGTGTGCTTTGCAAAGGCATGCCGAGCTTGAGTAAACTAACATTGAGATGAGGAAGAGGAGGGCCAACCAGAGAAGCAGCAGCCCATTCTCTGTAGAGCAGGGACTGCCCTGGAGTGGCCAACACCTACAAACCAGGGTCCATCTACTGCTGTGGTGCATCAAGAAAAAGAGGGGAGCAACCATTATCCAAGTGTGGTTTGCCAGAGATTGCCCCTGTCCTGTAGCATGGATGCAGGACAGAAAATCAGTGCCACAAGTAATAGGTGGCATGTATGCATTTAAGTTTGTGTAAACTACCACAACGAAACCAATGGAAGAGACTAACAAGGTGTTCTTGCTGTGTGCCAGTTAACCAAGTCCCTCTGCATGGTGCTCATCTACTTTAATTGGGTATAGCACGAGTGTTATGGATGTTGTGCATGCATCACAGAGCAAATACACTCCCATGAACCCATGAATGCAATGGGTGCTTTCCCTCCTTCCTCCACGGTTGACTAAGCCGTTACTCTTCAAATAAGGCCTTCAATGAAGATATCACAGCTGGGCAAGGAGGGCACTCACAAGAACTGAGATGCAGGGGTGGCATGGGGGGCATGAACTGCTTTTATTTAAATAATCACTGAAACAATCACTTTGCTATCATCTTGAAGATCTGCACCCTACAATCTCTCTGATGATCCCAAACATACACAGCCATCTTTATAAGGGAACTACAGGAACTCAGTTGCCAATCACACGTTTACAACAATGAAAATGATACTGCAGGTAGAAGACTCCATGCAACCGCAGGGATAAGAGCTTCCATTATGCTAGGTTATAGTTGGGCTACAAATTTGGCTGGTGCTTGAACTGCTAGTGCAATTCCTACCTTATTTATTTAGAAGAATGGCCCACTGTACTCCCTGGAGCCTCTGCCCAGTATATGTGCACAGGAGGGCTCAGTGCCAAAACCTCCTTTGTGAACAGGATTTCCAGTCCAATCCTAGCCATGTTTACTTGGCAGAAAGCCCTATTAAATTCAGTGGGACTTCAATGTGAGCCTTCATGCTGAAGGTCCTAGAGGTGTCCAAGAAAGGAACTTCAGAATTCCCATCCACTGTTTCACTCCCAACATTTTTTCTTGTCTCTATTGGATTGCTGAGAGCTATCCTATCCTAATCAATACAGTGTTCTTCATAATGGTACAGCCATTTGATAGATTGCAGCCTCCATAAAAATGCTAGGTGCAAAATATAGTAACCTGTTTGCAAGAGCTTGTCAAGTTAATAGGGCTATATATTTCATCTGCTTTCTTTAGTTTATACATACATACATACATACATACATACATACATATCATCATGGGACTTGGAAAGAAAAGAAACTGGCAATCAGAGCCGTTGAACATCAGAGAACCCCCTGCTCTCTTTTTGTCCAACAACTTACTGTTTTCTCCTGAGGCAGGGACTATTGGTAGAGCAGCTGTTTTGCATGCAGAAAGTCCCAGGTTTATCCCAGGCATGTCCAAAATCCTGCCTGAGACCCTGTTGCTGCCATCGGACGATATTGGACTAGATGGACTCTGGACGTGCGACAAGAGGAGCATTCCAGCCTTGCTCCCCTCCATTGCTGCATCTGCCACCCTGCGATGAATGTAGGGTGAAGGTCTGAAGTGGATTTGCAGGGTGCCTAATTGCAAAGAGTGCCTGCAAAAACACAGGAGGTACCCCTCTTCGGACTGCTGCCCAGCACGCATCTCAGGTGTCCTCTCAAATGGGTAAGCAGCATGCCTAAAGAAAGCGGCATGCAGTCTTCCTTCTGTCGATCGCCATCACTGTAACATTAATCAATCGATGTATTCCTTAAGTGCATCAGAGGACTTCTGCTGTCTGAATTCAGTAACGCAGCCCACTTTCTCATGTAGTATCGTCCAGACTGCTGACTCAGCTCCTCCTGCTCTTAGGGATCTTCCTCTGGCCTATGAAGACAACGGTCCTCTAAATACCTACCTGGGAGTAAGTCCCATTGAACTCGGTGTGGCTTGCTTCTGAGCATTGCTTAGTAAAGCTCATTATCCCACCATGCTAAGAGAGGCTCTCCAAACTGGTATCACAGAAAGGCTTATGTTCTTTATGCTGTCTTAAGACTTCTGAGGCATTAAGAGTAGAAGGGCTTATTCTACATTGCAAGTGGATTACCGTGTTTTCACCACGCCAGCAATTTGAAATACTTCCCCCACCACCACCCTGGTTTATCACAGCACGTGGAACTCAGAGGATGCCATTTTTCAGGATGGGAAAGGCCAAGGACACAAGACCTGTCAGAGAGATCCGCATTCTTCCCAGTGACAAAGCCAAGCAATTCTACTGTTATGAGGCCAATTGCAAAGGCGCCACTGTTCCCCAAAGCACACAAAAACTGTGCCTAAGGAAGCGCCTTCATATTGTTTAATTAAAAAAAACTTCCTGTAATGTAGAATTATTGTTTTAACTTCAGAAAGGACTGTGTTGTGTTTTCCTTATTCTTATTCCCTGCTTTTGGTTGTGTCCCAAAATTTTCAGAAACTAATCCATCAAAATGATGCCCCCAAAATAAAATAAAAACACTAAAATGAATTATGCAGAACAATCAAAAAGGTATGAATGTCCTTTTCCCCTTAAAATTTCCATGTCGCATATATCATATGGAATGTTAAGCGTTAAAGTCACTACCTTTTCTTAAATGGCTTTGGTCTTTGTTACATAGAAAACTGTCTGCTGCCTTTTATTCTAAATCGAAATCCCTTTGACGCAGAAATGAGTAAAGTGAATAACGCCATGTACTGGTCGTTCTTCTCACGGGAACAAGGACCAAGGTAGTATATTCAGAAACTACATTTATCCGATTGCTAGTTATTTCACTTTCCTTGAAGGATCTGAAATGCAGAAAGCTCGAGAATGGGACCAGGTGGGGGAATGTGGGGAGGAGAAAGGGGGAAATGCAGCAAAATAAAACACCAGCAGTACCTGTGAGGACCACAAGATCATGACCCCCCCCCCCCCCCCCCCCCCCCCCCCGGTGGGACGGTTGTGCCTCCTTACAGGTTAGGACGAGCCCTTAGGAATCTAGATCCATAAGGAAGACCGTCGATCCGAGCGGCGGATACTCCCAGGTCAGTCTCCGTTCCCCTTTGCAGCGATTGGACCACGTGCCCGGATCGGCCCGGTCCCTTCCCCAATCGGTTCGCCCAGGATCAGCGCACGCGCTTTGTTGCCAGCCGGGAAGAGAGAGGCAGGGAAGGCGAGTGGGCAGCCGCTGCGGCGCTGGAACGAGCTTTCAGCACCGCGGAGTTGCGGACAGCGCCTCGCGCCCCACCTCCGGCCCCAGAGACCGCGGGAGGCCGCCGAGGGCCATGGAGCGGGGCGCCGAGGGTTCCCGCCCGCTGCCCCAGCATGCGGCGGCGGCGGCGGCGGCGGCGGCTGCCGGCGAGAGAGCGGGGGCGAGGCGCCCGGAGAGAGGCAGCTGCTCCTCCAGGTAAGGCTCGGTGCTCGGCGCAGGCTTGGGCTGGAGCGCCGCCGAGCTCGCTACCTGCCAGCCCCCGTCGTTCAGCGCCCTCGGAGTCCCTCTGCGCCTCTTTCCCTCGCCTCGTCCACCCCACCCCTCGCTGCCAGCCAGCCGGCAGCATCCCAAGCTGAGCCATGCCTTTCCCAGACAATGGAGGCGACCTCCCCTGGGCGATGGGAGGCGGGGGACGAAGGGAGGGACCTGCTCTGGCAAGCTTGCAGCCGCCTCGCCTACGTCCCCGCCGCTGGGCGCCGCCGTCAGCGGCTCGCCGTTCCTGAAAAAGTTGGCATTGCAGAGCGAGGGGCGCGCGAGAGAGCGGCAGCGGGGTCCGAAACGACCTCGCTCTTCGCAGGCATGGTCCCAGTTGATCCTGGCGACGCCTCCTGCTCTCCCTCTCGTGTGTGCTTGCTCCTTTCTCGGAATGCTACGAGGAGGGGGCGTGCTGTGCACGACAGGTGCCACCAAACTCCTGGGTTACACCGATGCCACTTCAGGAAGCGATCCCAGACAGAGGGAAAGAGGCTTCTCCTGTAGGAGCGAGACTAATGTCTGAGCATGTTCTGCTAGCGAGATCAAACGAGCCCATCTACACGTCTGTCGCCACGCGCCTCGCGTGCCTTTTTTACCCTCGGGATGGAAGCGACGTGTGTTGCTTCGAGGGAAGCCTTCGGAGACGATTTTCCGTCACGGCCAGAAAATCAATCCAAAAGAAGCAGGAGCCGGTCTTGCCGGGGCGCCGCAAACAAAAGGCGCAAGAGCTGAAGGCGATCGCTCCCGGATTACTCGGCGAAGCTGAAGCTGGGCGGGGCAGCTGGACGGACATGCTATATTTGGAACAAGGCTTTTTGGGGGGCTGTATAATAGCGGCTAACCCGACCAGTCAGCGGGGGGCAGATCTATGGCGAGTGGTAAATGCAGCCATCTAGAGTAACTACAGCTCTGAGGAGATGATTGTCCCCTGCAGGGTGCAATGGAACGGAAGCAACCCAGATATTATCAGAGGGGGGCAACCTAATGTAGTCATTAGGCAAGAAAGCAACACGGTGTTTGGACGCGAGTTCAGGAAGCGCTGTTCGAGGAGAGCATCCTGCTGGGGTGTGTTCACTGCTGCCGGCGATGGCGATACATGCATTCGCAAGCAATGTGCGGGGCTTAAAAATGAGGTCTGCCAGCCTGGATCAGCACAGTCCCCGAGTGAATGATGGAGTGGCAAGTGAGAGTGCCATTCTGTGCACCAGAAGGCAGCAGCGGCAGATGGCTGTAAAGTCTGTGCAGCAGTGTATCCACTCCAGGGCTCAGACTGAACTTTGAAGGAGCTGTCCTGGGGACGGCAACTAATTTTGGCTAGCTCCTTAAAAATACAGCCTGAAAACTGGAGTGGAAGCTGGTGTCTCCAATGATCAGACGTTCCACTGAGTCTAATGGTGCTTACTCCACTGGGTAAGGATTGCAGCCTAAATCTATTTCATTGCCCTTAACAGTGGCCTAAAAATAATTGGTTATGAAATAATTAAGCTCCCCACACAGACACACAATAATTTGGTTTGACAGTAAGTAAAGACCTGGGATATGCACAAGGCATGCCAAACTCTGCAGTTCAGTCTGTTCTCTCTCAGTCAGAGCTGATAAGAAGAAAACATAAAGATGTCCTTTCCAATTTTTGCAAGCAAATCTGGCCTTCCAAGTGACATTATGGTGTGCCTTTCTTTCTAACCATATGGACCACAGGCAACTGAAGCTGTGCTGTTTAGAATTCAGGAAAGCATTTGCACTGAACTCAGCACTGAGTTATCTCAATATTCAGGAAGGATGGGTTGATTAATGAGTAGCAATGACCAAATGGAACCTCTGTGTGCAGAGCCAATATATCTCTGAATAGCCAGTACCGGAAATGAGCAGCAGGGAAAGGCTGTTGCCTTCATGTCCTGTTGGCAAGCTTCCCAGGTGGCCATTGTTGGAAAAAATGCTTGAATAGTTGACTTTTGGACTGATCCAGAAGGGGTCTTCTTCAATAGCAACGCCATTTAAACCCAGATCTCCCACAATACTAAAGGGTCTTGCACTTGCTTTTTAAAAAGCTGTTCTCAGATCTGATGAAAAATAAATCATGAAAGATGAACTTTCCTTTAATAATGAGCAGCATAAAGTGGCTTTATTTAATTTATCTATTTGGTTTGATCAAGCTACAGTTTTTCTCCCAGTGCAGAGAAACATCTTTTCTTCAATACCTTCACAAAAGAATCTGCACTAAGGTTTCACAACATACACACTTTTACACTTATATTTAAAAGTAGTGCACTGACTGATTAAAAGCCAGAATAATTGAAGGAGGAGGAGGAGGAGATGCTGACGTAATAAATCATTAATTACTTGACACCCCCAGTGAAGATGTGGTCTGGTATCTGTTCACAAAACCAATTAATAGAGTAGTCTAGTGGCATTTGTACGTACAATGTATTTTCAACAGTGAGTGGTATAAATGGTGTCTTTTGTTTTTAATCTGGTATTTGCACTGTAGCTCATGGAAATCAGGAAGAGTATCCTGGTGGTGTTCCATAACTCTTCCAGAATAAATATTTTCCTTCCCTCTGTAGCAGCCTTCCTGAGTTGGTACCCTGAAAATGTTTTGGACTACAGCTTCCATCAACCCTAGCCAGCATGGTTTATGGGTAGAGATTATGGGAGTTATAGCATAAAATATACTATATTTAAAATATACTATAACTACCAAGTTGAGGAAGGCTGCTGAAGCATCAAAAATTCTACAGCCAATATGGCATGTTGAGTTGGTAGATTATGTATGTCAAAGTCAAAACTGAATCAGCTGAAAACTCCATCAAACTCATTATGTTATCTCTCACAGTGGCCAAGCAGATGGCCCAGAGAAGGTTGCAAGGGCAGCATATTGGTGGTCTTTTCCTTTCATTTTAGCAATAATTAAAACAGAAAATATACAAGCAACAATATTACACAGAGACCTATTGACAAAATAAGACTAAAAATAAAGATCACAGAGGGCATCTTCTACCATTGTAATGCTGACACTAAGAAGACCCTATCACCAGTTGCCTCCCACTTCGTATCAGATGGCCAGGTATCTGAAGCACGACCCCCAGCAACCTAACTATTAGGTACAGGGAGTCCTTTAGATACTCAAGTCCCAAGCCATATAGGTTTTATTGGCCCAAATCTGCAAATCTGGAAACAAATTAGAAGACCAGTTTACATGTTCCCTACTTTGTAATTTGGTTGCTGTTTTCTGAACCAATTGCTGTTTCTAAGTGTCTTCAAGAACAGCCCCATCCATAATAGATTAGAGTAACTGATTCTAATCATTACCACGACGTGAATAACTGTTGCATGGCCATCCCTCTCCAGGAAGAACTGGAGCTGGTACAGCATCCTAAGTTGAAGAAAGACATTTTGTAGCTCAGAAGTCACATGAGTGCCCAAAATGAGTCCAAGCAACCCCACTCAATGCATTTGATTCTTAAATGGGAGGGCAACTAGCCCCAACAGGTTGGATGCCAGCACCTAAATTTTTTGTGCTGTTCCTATTTCCCATGGTTCCATCTGTGCACTAAATCACTGGACTAAGAATACAAGAATGCTCTTAGAATTATGATTGATCTATCACCAAGCTTCAAAAAAAATTCAGAATAAATTTCAAACTAGTCATTTCAGAACTCTTTCCTGCTTTTCAAATTTGCTTATCGCCTTAACACCAAGGATTTTGCTTTTCCCTAAGTATCATTGACAGCTTAAAAACAGTCCTGCACATGTTTAGACAGGAAAAAAAATGTACCCTAAGTCACTTGTTACTAAAGAACTTGGTAGTCCACCTTCATAGACTTCCCTCTTGCTTCTGTGTATACATCTTTCCAGTCTGCTGTGAAATGCAAAAGCTTGCTTAACTGCCAGCTCTGTATCTGTAGGCCCAATAAAAGAGTTTGAGTCGAATTCCTGATTAGAGTAGACCCATCTATTGAAGCCAATAAAAATTATGTGAGTAATTTATTTCCATGGGTCTGCTGAAAGTGTGAGTAGATCTTGATCCAATCCAGCTAGTCACTTATTTAAAAAATTCCTCTGGAATGTGTCATGCACGCCTAGAACCCTAAATCTCTACATGCCCAAGGCTATTCTACCAGCCCAAGGTGATGCCATTTCTGACTCGGCCTCCAGTATATTCCTATCACTTTTTCTTGTGCATTCACAGCTATGGCCTTGTTGGGGAATGCTAGACAATCTGTACGTTGGCTCTATAATAACTACCTTTCCTTGGTGATTTAGTTGGGTCATGCCTGCAGCTATTTCTGTACCTCATCAACACTGGAAGGACTTTCTAAAATGAAGAAAGCCCTTCACAAAGAGAAATTTTCAAGAGGTATGCTTGACAAGAGATGTTATCAAGACTAAATAATAAAAATAAAAATGAATCAGCTTTAACGTGATAAAAAATATGTCAACAGGATTCGAGCATCATACCACAACTGTGTTTTACCTTTTGTTATGACCTGATCCACACATAAAGCCAGCTCATGGTTTATGTGACCAAAGGCTTGTTTGTCTGGCCTATGACTAAACAAACTCCGTTTCCTTCCTGTATCCATCCAAAATGCTTTTGCTGCAGTATAGTGCTGGATGTAGAGCAGTTGGGTGGTTGTTGTTCGAAAGCCCTCTTGCCCCCCACCTGTGTAGCCTGGTGATACAACCCACGAACAACCTGCAGTTCTGGGTTTCATATAAACAATCCCGAGAAGATCTACAGTAGAGCTCCTTCCATCTGTGACAGAGCACAGTTGCAGTCTTTATGCCAAATGAGATCATAATTTGACCACGTGCTAATGAATACAACACATGTACAGTGTGTTGAAAATGTGCTCTTGTGTCACATGCAAATGCAATTGCTGGAAAAATAGGAGGTATTGGAAAGATGATACGTGCAGGGAAATAGCCCTTTAAAAATAAAGCCCTTGCTTTTACATCCTTTGGCTAGGCACAAGTGTGAAGGACTTGTGTGTTTTTTTTTAAAGGGGGAAAAAGGACAGCTCCTTTTGCTCCTCACAAAAAGCATGAAGAAGGAGAAAAGGGATGAGGAGAGACAAGAAGGAGGCTGTATTGCTCCTTCCTGCTGGCCTCACAAATCCTAGGGGCCAAAGCCAGCCGAAAAGCAAGCAAGGGCAGCCCCTCCCCCATTCTGACTTTCCCACAAGCAAGATCCATTCAAGTGAATAGGATTTATTTCTGAGTCGACATGCCTTTCCACCAGTTCTTCCTTGAGGCAGGAAGACAATTGGAAAAGCTTAAAGACATTGCTAGCTTTTTTTTTTTTTTTTTTTTTGACGAACAAGACAGCAAAAGATGGAGCAACCTTGCATTTACTCCCCAGCTCATTGGGCAAGTCAGAGAGGGAAAATGCTGGAGGTTGGAAGGCAACTTAAGGCTGATTGGCTTGTTGAAGGAGCCTGACGGGGACTTCTTGCTCTCCCATCTCATCGGAGGAGAGCACTCCTCTCCCGCCCTGCAGAACAGCGCTGCACTTTTAGCTTCCACTGAAATATATCCCATGAAAAATGCAACATGTAAAAAAGACACAATAGAACTGATCTGAACGTATCTTGGATGTAATAGCAGAAAAAGCATAAGGAGGATGGTTTGGGGTTAATGTCATGTGACATGTCTGTGAGTTTGACATTAGAATGCCAGTAAAAAATGCCAAATTGTGTGTCTGTTCTCCCCTTCCTTCCAAGCAGACCAGGAAATAGATTTTCTAACTAAAAGTTTTTTATTATGTTAAGGCAGACCCATTAGGCTAACTTTGTAGTACAAAAACAAGAATATTGCAGGAAGTAATAATAAAAGAACAAGCCAAGTTAGAATACCAACCATTAAGAAAATACAGATTAATGATCAGAAGTCGACTCTAAACTGAGTATCTCTCCTATGTTTCAAACTGAAAACATAGAACCAAACCTTCAGGGTGGATCCTCCTGTTAAAAGACCAGTTGTTTGGAGCATCTGACTCTTCTTAACTGGTCTGCCCTCTTAAGCTGATACTGGATCCTCAAATTAATGATATTGCTCCATCTTTCTCCACATCATTTTGTTCACTGAACTGTCCCCTAAGATTTGAAACTGCATGATTCTCAGCAAAAGCCCGGTTTATCTCTGGGTTCATTGGCCTTGGAATTCCAATGGTGGCTTCTGGTCCATTCTCCTCATCTGAGTCAGAATCTATATCCACAGCTTCTGAAGGCCCAGG